CCTTGAAGATGAGCTCCACCCTTGATGATGAACCCTTAAAACTTTCAAGCTTACTCTTCACTTCAAAAATCACCAAAAATTGAATATTGACGTAATTTCAATAAAAATTGCACCATTCCAAGTTTATCCTTCAGATTTTTTTACTCCAAAGTAATTCAATTTAAAATATTCAACAAGCACTAAGAAATGCCTTTTCAAACATGGAGTATATAAAATTGCCAAGGCAGTGAATCCTTTTTTAATCAAAAATTCACTTAAAATTCAATTTTAGTCCAATTCAAACATGCAGTAGCTTTTTAAAAAGATAACACCAAGATACACAACTTTACAAAGTTCCAAAGTGAAATAACAATTACATAAAAACTGATTGATGAAAATCCGAGAGAAAATCACTCTCTACCTATCCATGGTTTTTTTTTTTTTCTTTTTTTTTTTTCTTTTAAATATCTTTTGATTATATAATTAAAAGAGATATTTTTATAAAAAAAATGAAGAAAGATAAAAGACTTACCAATGATAGAAAATAGATTTGAAATACTCACTCAAATAATCTATACAAAAGGTCAATTAAAATCAACTCACTTCACATTTACACACACAATTAGAAGCACCACCTCCTAGCAAATGCACCAAAATGTGAAGATAAATTCTATCCCTCAATCCAAATTATAAGATGGCCTCAATTAAGAGTTGCTTGTAATTAGTGGTGTAAAGTGGAAGTAGCAAGAACAAAAGAAGTATAACACAAAAACAAGTGAAACGAGTGCAATTAAGCAATTGTATACTAGAACAATAGTAAAGTCTATTCACTAAGTTTTTACTTGATAAAAAATAAAAAAATAAAAAATATATATATATATTTTTAGAAATTTAATTATATTATCTTTTCAATAGTATAAGAAACATGTAAATCCAAATTATTATGAATAAGTTATAAGAGGTTAAAGATAAAAGATAAACAAAAAAAAATTAAATAAATAATTTTTACCTCAAGGATAACTTGATTAAGAGATCAAGAGTTTGAACTTCACCAAGACTCATAAGTAGTATATATGGGTGTCTAAGAGAAGCCGTAAGGCCATAGTCTTATCCTCCTAACTACCTTCAAGGTGCTACAATCCATATGGAACTTGTGCACCTACCTTCTCACAAGAACTATACTAGCTGCTGGCCCTCCTATTTTCTACTAATAAAATCAATATTTTTGCATTTTTGACTCCACCATGGTGTTTAAAAACACCCAATTAGCATAGAAACCTTGTGTGGCCTTCAAAACTTATTCCATTTCTTCATAATGGATCCCATGGTAGTAAAATTTATTTTTATCAAAGTCTAAATTTTAAAAATAAATTCTAAATAAATTAAAAAAATTCCTATAAATTTTCTATAATATAAATATAAATTTAAAGCTATATTTTTCTAGCTTTATTATTTTTTATAATATTAAAATCAATTTAAATCAACTATAAATCCTATTTCTTATATAACTAACTAAAAAGATATGAGCTTTTTTTTTCATGTTATTTTTTAATTATTAACTGATATTTATAATTTTATTTATAAGTACTACATATAGATATAAGGCCAATATAAATATTAATCTTAATAAATAATCCTTGATATTCAATAATAAGTAAAAATATTAAATCAACTAAGATATTTATCTCCAAGACTTACTAGGACTCCATTTTTACAACTAACATTCTAATTTTCTATTTGACTAAAGATTTCTATACTACTCACTATATATTGTGGTTTAAAGTACTCTAAATACATCTTTTTATCCTAAAATAATTAATGAGTAAATTTGATAACTCACATTAATTATTTTTTTTGCAATGCCATCATGTCAATATTCTTTATTATCTTCTTTATAATATTAAAAAAAAATTGGTACAAATTTCAAAATATTGGAATATTGTGACAAAGACTGATATGACTCAAAGAAATCCACAAGATTGTAATTACTATCATGAATTCTAATTTCAAAGTGAGGTGACTCTAGTGGTAGAATTCTTCTACCTTTGCCCCTTCATCATTGTGTTTCTTTATTAGACCTATGAAAAAAATAGTTTTGGACTAATAGCTCATTCAAACTAACTTTTGGGCCTAGATTAGTCTTCTCACTTTCTTTTTATTTTTATTTTTCTTATTTTCTATTTGATTAATGATGCACTTATTTTACAATCCTTGTAGTTGGAACATGTATTAGTTCAAGAGTTTGAAGAGATGCTTTTCAACTTCAATTACATCCATTAGAATTTTATATTCTAAAATTTTAAGATTGGAGATTATATTGAGTAGTGGAGGATCATACTTTGAAAATATGCATTCATCTCATTTTTCTAAAGTAATAGTGCTTTTATCAAAGCTCCCGTTCTTGAGGACATACCAACTGGTGGTCTGACCATCAAACGGTGGTCATCAAGTTAATATCTGACTTTTTATTTTTTTTCATCTTCTTCATGTATTTTTTAGCAAATTTTCATTCATTTTCTTGTATAAATACTTGTGTAAAAAGTTGGTATCTAAGAATGTTGTGTTTTTGTAAGTATTATTGATGTATCTATCTACATTAATAAACAAAGGTCTCTACTTTGTATCTACATCCTAGTAAAAGTGATGAAGTCATTGCTTTCTCATTTGTAGAGTGGACTGTGGTATTTGAAATGCCTTTCAAAGATTTCATTATAGAGGAGGAAAAAAAAAAGCTATAGCTAAGTGGCAAGGGAGCTGCGATTATCTTAGAAGATGGTATTAATGATATTTTGGAGGCTCTTGAGATTACTATTGAAAAAGAAGCCATTCAAATTGGAAAGTAGAATGCATTGTTATTTGATCTGAAGGCTCTAAAGGCTCTAAAGATTCTAAAGGCCTTGAAGGCTTCAAAAGCCTCGAAGACTCAAAAAAGTGCTTCAGTGGCAATCACCCATATTAGTACTAACATAGCATTTATAGTAGTATAAATCATAAAGATGGCAATGGAAATTTTTTCTACTCAGTGTACCTCAATTATGCAAGCTTCTCAAGTCCAAATTTAGGCAAAAAAATAAACCTTGCAAGTTGGTGTGAGCTCCTTCTCTATAGCTACTCTAATAAGTGTTTTGATTAAGAACATTTTTATATTCAAGTTCATGGAAGTTGGGCTTATATACTCCCTTATGGTTGAAATGTATAATTTTATGAACAAGACATATTTCTCTTTTTTAGCAATTTTCTACATAATATATATTATATTATAATATTTTTATTATTTATTATTTTTTTTTGTATTGACAAGTTAGAACAAATAAACGAATAGAAATGTATTTTGCATTATGCCTCTATAGTGGATTCACCTCCTTGTTGTAGACCTACCAAAAAAAAATGCGAGTCCTGAACATCTCCTCTTAATCCTATACCATTTCAAAGTAGAATCGATATGTTAAGGCTTACATGGAGGCCTTTTTTGAAGTTGCTTATGCATTCTTCTATAATGCACCTATATTCTTTTTCATGCTTGAATCACAAGCCATTTGGATAGATGTGCAAATGTATGCTTTAACATACGAGTTTTGGATTTTCAAAGATTAGTTGGCTTCATTGATGAATGTTATTGTCTCATTATGTTTTTTGAAATTAGCCATGGATTTAAACTCTTTTTGTTGTTTTTACTTCTAACATTACTATCTCCTTCAAACATACCACTTCCACATCTTTTTGCTTCTTCATAAGATGGAACCATCTCTATAGTTTACTTTCAAAGAAGACCATGAATTATCCAATGATATATATATCATATTGAGGGTGATGATATCTGATTCAACTTCATAGCGAAGGAGACACAAGTTATGAACAAAGTTGTGCCATAGAAAAGAAGTCAGGAGAAGGACCTTATTTTTATGTAAATTCCTCTAGAGGCCATTATCAAGTCGTGTGCTATTATTGTTGGAACCATTATCTCTACATATACTTCTAAATCTTCACTTTTTTGTATTTTTTTTTCTTTTAATTTTTTATTTTAAATTTATTCTAAATTTTTTTTACTAAATCCTAAAGATATCTATTTATTCTTGCTGTTGTTTTGGTTGCCGCCTAGTTGCCTTTGAGAAGGACCATCTCATCTTTGAAGTTGTGTTTATACCTCTTCAATATACAACACCTATGGTGGTTGCTCCTTCATTGGAGAATGTTGTCATTGATGTTGAAAATAACATTCCTATCTATTGTGTCGCAAAGAACAATCGCTTGAGTATAGATGTAAGACTTCTAGAGCCATTACATACTTTTTGATTTTACATGTGGATTTGCCATATGAATTTTTTTTTTCTATTACTATATATCCTTAACACTAACATATTCTTGTATAAACTTTTCTATGGTATTCTAAACCATTTTCTATTGAAATAGAATTTGCTTCCGAAATTCATCCAAAAAATAAAAATTCTTGTAGAAATTGATGGCCATTGGCCTCCAAACATCCAAAGCTACAACAACAACAAACAACTGCTCACTAGTCACATGTTACTACTTATTGCTCAATGCTCATCGCTCATCATTCACATCTTAGCACTCTCCTACCTCCTTTGTACTTGTCATATGACATCCAGCAACACATAAAATTAGAAACCACTTGTGATATGGAAGATGGAAATGAGGGTCGTGGTAGACCACAATGTTTACACAGCATCATCCATTCAAACAATGATGCTGTGTGAACGAGATTTGTGCGATTCATCATGATGAATGACAGTGGCTGCAAGAGAATTCCATCGCCTCCGCGGACCCCATACACTCCAGCGCGCTATAGAACGGCTACCAACGCCCCTACTCATCATCCACGGCTGCTATCACCCCTCTGATCTCTGCTCCGATCGCCATGCGCCTTCTTCCAACCATCAAAACCTCCAGGAAGCCTGTCGTCGTATATACCCCTGTCCACTCTATTAGCCCGAGTATCGGCACAATAACACATCAATATCAAAGGAGTATCACCTAGATATTAAACTATTCCACTCGTGTTCCTGTTGAGTGAGAGAGATAGCATTGCGTTTTGTGCTCACTGCGCGTATGATGCATTGCATCATACGAGCATGCTCGTAGGATTGAGGGAATGTTGACTGGAATTTTCTCTGCCTTGAAGCCATTAAAATCGAAGCTCAAGGATCTCTCCTGAATGCTCTTTTTTGGGGCTTTTTAGCACTTCGGAGTCTCTTGGTCCCCTCTTTGAGTGTGTTTCTTGAATCCAACGTACGATGTGGTAAGTGAAGTTCTAGTTCGTTTATGAGGTGACTTGCTGCTTTGAATTGGATTATAGAGAGGTAATATGTGTGCGGCTATGCTGAGGAGAAGTCTTTTCATGCTTAGGATTTTGCGTTAATATTAAGTGGAAGGGAAGCAGTGTTGTGGAAGAGAGCTTGCACAAGTTTGCTCTACCAGAGATGACGCTGTTGTAGAGAGGTTGTGAGATTTTGTAATCGTTGATTGAAGACCGTTCGTTATGTGTGTCTTGATTTGTGATTTTTTTGTCATTTGATTACGGTGAGGTTGTACTGCGATGAATCAGGACTGAAAGAGAGTGTGAAATTGTTTGAACTCGCTAGGTGCTGGTAGTAATTCGTGTTGCCGATTCTGCAGAGTTTCCATGAAGTTTTTTCAGCGATTTGCTTCGCGACCCTTGTTTGCACGAGCATGTAACCATTAGTAAGAATTATATGAGTCTGATGCAGTTGGAATTGAGCTTCTGCAACGCTAGTAACAAATATCAATTCGTTGTAGCAGTGTTTCTTTTCCAAGTATTGCGTGAGCTATTTGAGTTCCTAGAACATCATGTACGTATTCAGCTTGGCCCGAGAGGAGCATTCGTTAGAATTGTGAATTTCGACAAGAATTAGAATGAAAAGAGCGTTTTACTACTTACTATGTCCTGGTCTTCAGCACCTGAATTTTGCCAGATATTATGAATCCGTGACTGTGAGTGAATAACTGGATTCGTAAGTATCGAGCTGTTTCTTTCGACAGCTCCTTTTACGTGCTCTCGGATGGCTAGGGTTTTCTCTTCTTGCTTGTGCTAGGGTTTCCGTTTTTCCATGCGCTAGTGTTTAGTGTTTATTTTGCTCCTTCCAAGTCTGCTGTTTCGTTTCGTTAGGTCGCTTCGTTGATGGGCGTGATTGACAAGAATGACCCTGGCAGAGGTAGGGAACCTTTCTCACGACGGGCAGTTCCATCGCTTGACCTCAGCTTGAGCGCTCTCTTCTGTTCTCTTACCACCCTTGCCTTGCGCCTACCGGTAAGTTATTCTGTCTCCGTTGAGCTCTTCAGTCATCCACAGGTATCGTATTGTTGTCCAGTTTCTTTTCCACTTGTAATTCCAGCGCCGGTTTGCTTTTCCGGGTGTCGTTGATTTCTTGGCCGGGGTCAGCCGCCCCTCCGTGTTTCGTGTTTCTGCGGTAAATTTCGAGTCTTTATGGTGAATGACAGGGTGATTACTTATGTTGTTGGATTATTAGTTGTGAGGCATGATTCGGGAGAGTTTAGAAGTGGCTGTCGTGCGCGCCATGAGCTTTGATTGTGGTTTGGCAGCTGATTTTACTCTTTCTGTTTGTTGTCTCTATCGGGGTTTGTTTCGGCTGAGCGGAGTTTTGTATGCATTTCGAGCACTGCTCGCGTTTGCGTGTGACAGCGTTCTAATGAATTGCTGCTGAGGTTGCACGTTACAGGAGGTGGTCACGTAGGCAGCATAGGCGTGCTGAAAGGGTCATGCGCTTTTCAAGACAATGGATGCCGAATTTGAAGAGGTGAAGCAAGAGATCAGGAAAGTAGAGCAACAGATCGATGCTGTGGAAGAACAACTGACGAAGGCTGTCACAGAGGCCGATGTCGCTTACTGGCGGAAAAAGGAGGAGCAACTGAGGAAAAAGGAGGAGCAACTGCGGAAAGAGAAGGAGCAACTGCGGGAAAAGGAACTGCTGCTGCTCAACGCTGATACTTCAGGTGAAATCACTTGGCCTGACACATATTGCATTATCCACTTGATTATCCACTTCTTCCCTTTGGCTAGGGTTCCTATTAGTATCTCGTCCAGTTCATATTTTTGGGCAAGGGTTTAGTTCATGGTCTCGCACCATTGTTGAATTGGCTTCGTTGCACTGTTCATACTTTGCGCCTGAAGGTCTGATTGTTTTTTCGTAGGTGAGAAAGCCGTTGATTTATGCTTTTTGTAAACAAGTACGTTCCAATTTTTTCCTCCAGGTTAACCTATTAAGGGTTGTAGACGTGTCTGCATGGCACCTATTAATTAGTTCTCGAACTTATGGGTAACTGGTGAAGGTTTTCTTTATGCAGCCACGCTCCCTCCCTCCCTCTGATTGAACTCATGGTACTTAACCTCAGCCGATTATTAACCAATAAAGGGTTACTGATGGCTGGTATTTAACACACTCCCCCAACTCACCTGACTTCGGCCTTTCTCTTGCTGCCACGTTACGTCTCGGTAGCTGTGCCTTAATGCTGTTCCAGCTATATATACCAAGCCACCACCCTTTCTTCTTCCCTGTGGTTACTGGACGCGTTGAGGTGGTCGGTGTGGAACTCTATACCTTGGGGGTTTTCGTTTCTGGAGGGGACACTACTCTTTCACAATGGCTACATAGGTTTCCGAAACCATAGGTAGTCTGGCCTGCTAATTTATGTGCTTATTTAGGCTCGCATCTCTATGTATGTTTACTTATTTTGTGGTTTAAGCAGCTGCTCAACAGGATGCACTGGACCCTTTCCGGAGGTTATTAGTAGAAGCAAGAGTGGACGTCAGGATTCCGGAGGTCACTGAACTGAAAGGTTACTTGCTGCATCCGCCACGTATGGCATTTCCGGTTTCTCACCGACGCTACTTTCAGTGGAAGAGCTATCTGAGTAAAGCAGACAACTTTATTTGTCATGACCCTGCACGAGGCGTTTGCTGGAATTTGGATGACCACCTTGGGATTGTGTTAAGGCCTCCAGCTACAGGCTCTACAGAAAGTTCTTATCATGCTTATTGGGATTGTCTTGTTACTGAGCCAATATCCCTGTTCTCTTTGGAAACACTTGTCTTTGATAGAGACACCTCAAGGTTTAGTTCATCCGAGAACAAGCGCCCAGACAAACTTGGGATGGTTTCCAGACTCGCACTTTGGCGTGGCGAGGAGAAGGGGCCAGATACTGAAGATGATCCCAAACAAGAATTGGTCAGGAAGCTGATCTGGACGTATGGAAACCTGCCCTATCTCCTGTGTTATTATGCCAACGCAGCGATCGTTACTTACTGTGCACTAGTGCATGATGCTAAGCGATGTAAGACTGAGGTGGTGGATTTGATCACTGTCAATCTATCTGTTGTAGAGGACAGGTTGCTGGCATCGTTGATAGGCTTCAACATCAGCAAGCTGCTAATGCGCCTGTCTGAAGCTGGAATCGTGCTGGGAGTTGAGTCTGACTTTTACGATTATCGCACTGACGGAAAAACTGTTTTCGTGGGGACTGGTGTTGACAAGATCTACAGAGATAAGCGTACCTTTGAGAAGGTGTACCAAATATATAAGAGCATCAAGGATTGCCCCAATGCAGAGCAGGTGCTGAAAATTAATGCAGCCGATCGTAGATTCCGAATGATACCCCGGTGTCTTGTGAAAAGCCGGGCGAGACCTGAAGATGAACTTTTGAAAGCATTGATCAATGTTGCAGAAGCACTGGTCTGGTTGCATGGAAAAAATCTAATGCATCGAGATATAACTTGGCGGAATGTTCTCAGAAACACTTCAGGTACCAACTGGGTTTTAATTGATTTTGATGAGACTGCTGCTACTCCCTGTGGTCACGCTCACGGACTGTGTGTTGAAGCTCACGCCCCTGAGATGAGCAGAGGTCGTCATGACTCGAGTGTAGACATATGGGGCATTGGGCATTTGATCAGGAGTAGCGGGATAAATGGTTTGTCAGCGGGTGTTCGAGAGTTGCAAAGGGATTGCTTGCAGACTGACGCTTCCAGAAGACCAAATGCAGAAACTTGCTTGGAGAGATTAAAATGTCTCCGTAGAATGACTAACATGAACTTACACATGGACTTCGAAAGCTGTTGAACCTGATGTGAGGGATACTGTGATTCTGGCATTATGTTGTTGAAGCAGATAAGGATGACCTATCATGTGGGAATGAGATCTTATTTGCAAGAATCCTACGTAGAGCCGCATTCGGCATTGTTGGCTGAAGGCGCCTATAGTGCTCCATCTTCTCAAGTTTCATGCAACTTTTGAGAAAATAGCTCCAGGGGGGATGAAGTCTGAAAACTCCGCAATTCTGATCATTACCAAGGGAATTGCTTCGTTAAAACAAACCTCTCGTGCTTGTGCTTCAGATTGGAAAAGTGGGATGTGCCCACGCAGAACCGAAGAACAACCGAAGAGGGTTTGTTTTTGACACCTTTTTTGGCAGGTTTCCGACATTTTATTATATTTTTTGGGAAATTCTCTGACATATGACTGTAGAAATTTGGAAGGATTTCGCTTGCTTCGGTTTCGACAATTGTTTAGACACACAAGTGACTAAATCAATGTCGAACTAATTTTTCGACACTTTAATGTCGATAACTTCATCTACAATTTGTCAATGTTGGGAAGTCTGTCAAAACGAAGTAAACAAAGTGGATGTTCCAGAAGGTGTCGACTTAATTCTGTGAAAACAAGGGTCCAGAACCTCGTACTGCAAAGCAAGTTGAAAAACGAATCTGAAATTCTGGCAAGTAATAAACCCAACGCAGTAATGAACTTCTTGTTGTAAACTATGCTGAATATGACGTCGATACGTGCGTCAATATGTTTATGTCACTGCAGCTACTAACAGTTCACTGGTCCAATAACGCATTGGACGTAAGAGTCCTCCGAAGCATACGCCCCCTTCCTACCAGGAGGTAGACAGGAGCTCGTGGTGGCTTGTAAACGAGGGTTTCAACCACAGAAAGGTGGTAACCACCGAACCTACATGGCATCCCACTTGCCAAGTGAGTTATTTATAGTGGTGTAGAGGTGGTGTAGTGGTGTAAAGGTACACTCCATAACTTCGTTGCATGCCATGGGTATTAGAAAAATGTATCTAGTAGCTGAAGTATGGACATACTAAACTAATCTACTAATAAGTGATTATTGTGCTTCTACAGTTGATGTAAATGTTTTCATCCATAATACTGTAGATATTTGCCTTCATTGTTTGAAATAGCTTGATTTGTGACATATCCGTGTGAAATCTAAGAAGATTTTTTGACTGCATGGTAGTTAGTGCGTTGCAGCCTACCTCTTGGTGCAAAAGTTGTTGAAGTACAATAGGAGTACAAACAAGATGCATAAGTACATGCAATAGATAGAGTATGCATACAATGCTCGGAGTGAGAGAGATCATTCTACTCCCCACTTTATCCACATGACTAAAACCCTTCAATATGATGTCTTTGCCTCTAAATACAAATTGAAGTCTAAAGTATCCTTCAAATATTTCATGATGCATTTCAACCATCCAATGAAAGGGACTTGCTCTAGATATGAATTGGCTTAGCACATCCATCAAAAATGCAAGATTTGCCCTTATATCCACCATTGCATATATGAATGATTCTATTGTTGTCTTGTATGGAATGCCTTCCATTTCTTCTTGAATCTCTTCATACTTTTTCTCAAAAAGCTTCAACAACTTGGAATTCACATCAAATGGAGTTTCAATGGATTTGCTCTCTTCTATGTTAAAATGCATGAGTTTTTGTGATTATCGTTTTACTTATTTTGAAAGAAACCTACCAGAATAAATTCATATAGGGGAATTTGAACACAGGAAAAGACCATGTATATGAGTTCCAATTGTTAGGGTCACACAATTAACCGCTACAACTGAATGCTTACAATGTTGAAGAACACTTAACTTTTCCTCCTATTGTTTACTCTCTCATATTAATATGATAACAACCTCGACATCAATTTCAATACCCTGTGTAATTTACAAACACACAAGCATAACCCAAATCTTGGAACGAACAACTTCTAATCCACTGAATTTGATGAAGACAATTCCTTCAATTATAATTCCTCTCCACTGAACTTACAACCTTGCGATAAACAGTGACTGGAAACTTCTATAAAAAACTTCCTAAATCAAACATTGATTCATTAAATCGATTATCTTCACAAGAATCAACACTAACACCAAAGAAACAAGAAAACTAAGAAGAAGAGATAGCACCAAGCTTATTCTTGGCTAATAACTATCACAATCTGGAATTTTCATCTTCTCTCCCATCCTCCTTATACTACCCCAAGATATCAACTCCTATACTACCGATGATAACTATTTTTCCTGACTATTCATCCATTCTACCTATTGAACCACCTTTTCAGTAGTTATCTAACCCTGTTTACACTATACATTATGTATCTACATCCTAAAAATAACTACTTATTCTATATAGCCTGACTTCTAATTGTATAGGGTCCATGCAAATACAATATTGATAAACATTTTTTTTTTTTTTTTTTTTTTTTTTTTGGAAGTGGATTGTTTAATCTTTTCAATTCCTGGCGTTGGCTCCATTTGGTCTTGTTTCAACACTATATCTTCTTTCGACGACTCATCCTAAATCTCTACCTTTAATTGAGCTGTTAAATCTTCATTATACGCTCCCAATTCTCTAACATGAACTTCCAATTATTCTTGCTGCTTTTGCAATTTCTCCTCCAATTTTTCAATTTTTATTCTCGTTGAGGCAAATATCTGTGGCTGACCAATTTTGACCAAATCATTGTCCAATTTCGTTACTATTTCCTTCAAAACAATAATTTTTGCCTGTAGCTCATCTATTTTGTTTCGATATTCGACACCCAATTGTTTCTTTTTAAGCTCCAATGCCTCCTTCTTCTCTCATTCCATCTTCAACTGAGCGTTCATCTTGTCTTGTTCCAATTTATATGATTTGCGAGTTTGTAGTAATTCTTGCCTTTGATTTTTTAGGATATGTTGAATCCTTTGTTTCTCCTTTGACTAGTTTTCCACTCTCTTATCCAATTCACGCTTCACTCGCATCTTGGATTCTGATTCTACCTTGATGACTTGTTCTTGTTCCTTGATTTTATAATTTTGCTCCAATATTATTTTCTTGCTCGCTTCTACTTGCCTTTTTAAGCTATCCTCATCTTTGAGCTTATTCACCGTAAGTTGCAGCTAGGAAATTTGATTCAATATAACTTTTTTAAGATTTCATCTTTCCGTTATACCCTGTTGAAACCCTAATTGGTTGCTTTCCCTTGGAATTGGTATTGGTGTCGTCATCTCTATTGTCAGCCAAATTGAAACTCGCTCTAGTGTAGATATTGGTCTTGCTTACTGTTTTGCCACTCTGCTGGATTCTCCCACTTCATACACTATTACCCCTAGACTAACTGTTCCCATTTGTAAACTTGGAACTATTGGTTGAGATTCTTATTTCAATGTATACTCAAGTACTGAGTTTACATAATTTGAACGTAATAGTGAAGCAAAATTCTCCGTCTTCCCATTACCTCTCATTTTTGCATGTATCGTTGTGGCCACAGAAGCTGCCCAATTGAATACCATGCCTTTCAGTGTTCCTATCATGAAAAATAATAATCGCTTCACCATGTAGGTGGTATGCTAATTCAATGCTAACTGCTTCTGAACAAACCGCATCCATTCCATAAGTTTGGACAGAAGTGCCTCCTGTACCTTCCATCCTTGATTTCACTCGAGAGACGACATTCCTCCTTTGAAGTAGCTTCCTCGCCTGAAGTCATTTGATGCATCTCCTCCTACATCAAGCTCTCCGGTTGGTAAATGTAAGACCTTGTGTAAGATATTCTCATCTATTCCAATCAAGACTCCTCTTACCACACTCAAACCATCCTCTAGATCATAATTCTCTATATATTTCGCCACTCGTTTTACATTAATTGGTGGTAGTTTATTCGATCTTTGTAAAAACGTAAATAACTATGTATTTCTAAAATCTTTTTGCCTTTTCAATGACCAACAGATATCTAACTTCATCGGTTACATGTTGGTGATAACTACAAGAGACCGTGATCCCAAATCGCACTTAGACCTCACATTGCAGTGACTTTTTGATCA